TGTCGTAGGCAGTGCGATTAGCACAGGATAGAGCAGGGTTTAGGCCTGTTGTGCATAGGGTCGCTATGAGTCGCAAACAACTTGACGGCACATAACAACATAACAGCATATCTTGTAAAGTTTCATCTATCTACCTACCTATCCATGGGTTACATATGTATATATGGTATTGGAAAGGCAGTTAACTGATGCCGGCTATTTTGTTTGATTCTATAAGCTATTCTTGTTTAAGGAATCATTTTTACTCATAAGAGAACTTTGTGAATTCTTCAGTAGATTCGTAAGAGAAACATGTATAACTTAGCATCTGAATGGTCAGAGTTCATAAATCTATATGTATACGGTTTCACTGGATGTTGCCTGAATCACAGCCTAGAAAACTACAGGTCTTTTCTGCTCAATGTACATAGAGTTGTGATGAGTTGAAATTGATTTGAGGGCAAACAACAGCAACCATATGTGTTGAAAGTGAATCCTGGAACTTAGTATACTTTCATTAATTCTACCCCCCCCCCCCCCAAATAATCATTTCCATGCATTATGTTTTAGAAAATCAATCACCTTTGGACCTTGCCCATCATAACCCTGCCTTTTCAGGTCCCCACCAGGGTTGCACAGCTTGGTGGCCAGAGAGAGAGGTGAAGGGAACGGGAAGGGTTATAATTCTGTGTATATTAAAACATGTCCATGAGGCTTTGTAGCTGAGAGAGAATTTCATTCAGAAGTGTCCTTACAGGTGTCTAGTCAGTAGGCCTTTATTTCAGCTTGTATCTCTGACCTCCTAAATATGACTATCTTGTAGAACAGCAGTGGTACAAAAAGTTCATTCTCTTCTCAAACATTTATTTTGGTGTATTTAACATAGGATCACCCTCCATAACCCCATTTTCTGTTTCCGACCTTCTTGAAGAGATGAGTTGATCTGGTATTGTTAATTTTGTATTTCATTGTTTAGAAAGCGAAGCACATTCTCAGGATCCTTGTGGCTGGCTCTTCATTAGTTCATATCTTAGTTTCTGTTTTAAAATCTCAATTGTCAAAGGAGAGATTAATGTCCTACTTGTGCTGTTTGTTTGTCGGTGAGGCTGTTGCATAGACATACCTATTTTATTCCTGTTGTTTCAGTTAGTATTTTGAGAGTTTGCTGGTTTGCTTGATGTAGCTGTAGACATTGATTCCATGAGACAAAGATGGGCAATTTTTTCTCTTTCAATCTTTGTAGCCTTTGAAAACTCACTGGACAGTTGACTCTAACTCAATTTTAATTCCATGGCAAGTAATAACAGCATTGATGACACTTTGAGGTTTTAGTTTCAGGCTCATTTTTTTATTCCTTCACCGCAATTGTTGCTGATACCCTTGAAATGAATCCTTCCACCAAGCTAATGCCATATGGCCACTCTGGACACACTGCACATGGAGTGTGGGAAAGTCTGTTCATGCTGCCTGGTGGAGACTGCTCTCAGACCCTTGCTCACCTCTGTAAGGTAGCATTGCTATCTCTTGTGCTGATCTACAAAGGATTTGAGGCTACTTACAAAAAAATAAATACTGATTGTTTGGACCTGAGCAGCGGGGAAGGCAAGCGGCTGTCGACTTATCCAGTTTGAGGAAATGATGTGTCTCAAAGCCAAGTCCCAACTCATGGTCCGCATTTGGGCTCCGTGGGCCCCTCAGTGCACACAGATGAACGCAGTGATGGCAGAACTGAAGCAGACCCTGAAGGTGTTCCTGAAGGGTCTGAAAAATTATGAAATTAGCTCAGTTCCCACCTTCCTGTTTTTCAAGAACTGTCAGAAGATTGACCAAGTAGATGGAGCACATGCCCCAGAACTGACCAGACCAAAAAGGTTCAATGACACTTGTCCACCGACGTCTTCCTGCTCATTGTTTAGGAGCCCCCTGAAGAAGACCTCATTGCCCACTGAAGACGTTGCCCAGTGCTGCCCTCTCCATCCTGTTCATAAAAGGGACCCCCTCAAGAGCCATGCTGTGGTTTCAGCAAACAAATGGTGGAAATTCTTAACAAACATAATACTCAGTTTAGCAGTTTAAACATTACCTCAGATGAAGAGGTCCAGCAGGGACTGAAAGCCTATACAAGCTGGCCCACCTACCCTCAGCTGTAGGTGTCTGGAGAGCTCATAGGAAGGCTGGACTTGGTCAAAGAACTGGAAGCCTCTAGAGTACTCACTATAACTTGCTCTAAAGCTCCTAAACTTGAGGAAAGGCCCAAAGTCCTGGCAGATAAAGTCGCTGTGATGCTCCTTCTGAAGGGAAACATACAGGAATAAAAAATAAGCATTCAGTAGACAAATTCTGGAAATCTTAAATAGTACTGATGTTGAATATGAGACTTTTGACATATTAGAAGATGAAGAAGTATGACATACTCCACTTGGCTCACCTCCCCATCACTGTATGCGAAAGGTGAGCACATTAGAAGACTGGGCATCTAAAAATGCTGAAAGAAAATGTTGAGCTACTGCCCATCCTGAGAAGACAGAACTAATGATGCTGAACCAGGTGCCCAACAAGCACAACAAATACTTGATCACCTCTGGGCAAGCCAGCTGCTCCCAGCTGGACCAGGAATGAGGTCTGTACCCAGTGCTTCATGTTATCAAGCTTGTGCTAAATGGATGTTACATTTTCCCACAGAACTAAGATACAATATACGTCTTCACATTCAGCTAAAAATTAATAAATACTTAAAGAAGCAAGGTTAAGTAAATGGCTGATGAATTTTTAGAAGACAGGACAATAAATCTAAGAATAAACTTAATAGTACAAGAAATAAATTATCCTGTAAGATCAGAACAAGTGCTATCATAAAATTGGCAGAGAAGAAAAAAAGTAATACTGATAGTCCCATTGTACCTTGTTGTTGTTTGTTGTTATGTGCTGTCGGGTTGTTTGCGACTCATAGCAACCCTATGTACAACAGCCCTAAACCGTGCTCTACCCCGTGCCAATCTCATTGCCTCTGACACACCCATCCCGATTACCCCAGTCAGTGAATCAGTCCACCTCATAGAGGGTCTTCCCCTCCTGCGCTGTCCCTCTACTCTACCCAGCATGATGTCCCTCTCTAAAGACCTGTCTCTCCTTACAACAGGTCCAAAGTATGTCAGACGAAGCCCCAGAATCCTTGCCTCCAAGGAGTTGGTTGTTTTAACCCTCTCCAGGATGAACCTATTTGTTTTCTTGGCAGTCCATGGTACATTCAATACTCTTCTCCAGCACCACAGCTCAAAGGCATCAATTCTCCTTCTATCCTCCCTAGTCATTGTCCAACTCTCTGATGCATAACAAGTGATTGCAAAAACCATGGCCTGTATCAGGAGCACCTTAGTCTCCAGAGAGACACCGTTGCTCTTGAGTACTTTAGAGAGGTCCATAACCGCAGACTTTCCCATCGCAATAAGTTTTTTTATTTCCTGGCTACTGGTGCCAAGAGTGTTGACCGTGGAGCTGAGCAAACTGAAACTGTGAACAATCTCAATCTCTTCACCATCCATCCTGATGCTACCGATTGGTCCAGTGGTGAGAATCTTTGTCTTCTTGACATTGAGCCTCAGTCCATATTGAAGGCTGCAGTCCTTGACCCTCTGCAGTAAGTGCATGAGGTCCTCCTCAGTTTCAGGGAGCTGAGTTGTGTCATCTGCATAACACAGATTGTTGATAGATCGTCCACCAATCCTAATGCCACACTTCACCTCATAGAGCCCAGCCTCTCGGATAATCTGCTCTGCATACAGGTTGAAAAGGTATGGAGATAGGACACATCCCTGGCATACGCCTTTCCCAATTTTGAACCATGCAGTGTTGCCCTGCTCTGTTCTGACGACTGCCTCTTGGTCCAAGTATAGGTTTCACATTGTACCTTAGTTAAAAAAAAATAAATAAATCAACAACTCAAGAGCAATAGAAGCTTTCTTGGTGCTCAAGAGACCAGTAAACAATGTAAGAAAAATACTGCAGCTTTAAAAATAGTCTTGCTAAAATATAATTCCAGTACCTGCATATTCCCTGAAACATTTCCATGGAGGATGTTGACCAGTGCCATAGCAGTTCAGAAAAATTTGTTTTGTTTTTGGAGTAGTTTTGGTGGTTGTTGTTGTAAAAAGCTTAATTGTCATTCTTGGATCTATATTATAGTAGTAGGACTTAAAATAAATGTTAAGAATGACTCTTACTGGAAAGCCTTTGCTATTATATTTAAACTGTTTAGAAATCTGACCCCATCATTAGGAAATTGCAGGAAAGGAATCTAACAACATTCCCAAACATCTAAGTGTAAGCTAATTAGGGTATTCAACCAAGATAGTGGCTTGGATTAAGTTATAAGGAAAACATGTATGAGGTTTAATATTGTGCTACTTTTTTGAGACCAATTAAGGTTACTTGCAGGTAACCATTGCAAATCTGAGCTCTCGTGGTTCATAGGGAGTTGTGCTGCTAGCCCATAAGTGTTGTCTTTGTGAAGGTTCAAATCTACTGTCTGCTTCATGGAAGAAAGGTGGCAGTCTTCTATGCAGTTTATAGCCTCTGAATTCTGATTGTGGGCTCAGCTGTGATTTGGTTCCAAATTTACAGGTATAAGCTTTTTAATGTTAGTTTAATTAAGCCCATGAGCTGATAGACCATGAAGACCTTCCTGGTTTCATTCTTATTTTTCACTCATTGAGCTTTTGTGTCATCCTTTATCAGTTCTTTGAATGTTGATTTTGTGGAGATTAGAGGGCTTTCTTACAAAGAAGACTCAGTCACAATCTTAACTTCCACTTGCCAGGTCTTCTCTTAAGCATTTCTTACTACCATCTTGGTCCCTTTTTCTCATTTCTTTTTTGCATGTGTTGGTTAGCCATCTTAACATTTCCTTTGCTTAGAAGTCCTTGTTATTTTCATCATAGTAACTCCTACTTCTGGATTCTTCTCTTATTCCTATTTGACCAAGAGGTGCTAGTGTTAACTCCTCCTTGCCCGCCTTTCCGTAGAGTCCATGCGTGGTGGTGCCGTCTACAAACGACAGGATGAAGGAAAGCCAGAAAGAGGTGAGTTTTGAGCTAGATTCTGATTTGGGATTATGAAGCTTTGGGGGGACTTGGATTGATGTGAGTACTCCTTCAGTTTACTTTCAGAACCAAAGTTGAACAGCAGTAGGACAGGTACTGACTGGTATTTGAAGAGAAGTAGAAGTTGTTTATTGAGGTAGCCATTCATCATCAGGAACCTTATAGGACATTGAGATTGATACTGACAACAGTAGTATCAAGAGATTTTTATGTTGGTTTCTGTGCTCATTCTGCTGCTGTTTGTATTTACCCTTTTTCTTTGCTTCTTGCCTCTCTTTCCTCCTCTTGCAACTGCTATGTCTGAATATAGGATAAACACTTTGTCCCACCCCTAAATGTTCCCTTTCTTTGGTACCCTAAGAATGATTGAAATTTGCCTTTGAGCAGCTAAAATTAGAAAAGATTTAAGATTATACTTAGGGTTAACTTGCATTGCTGATGTCTTCAAGGAAATACTAAATAAGAGATAGAAAGCTGCTTATGAAAAAGTGTGTGTGTGTGTGTGTGTGTGTAGCGCTGATATATGCCAGGTTTGAGCCTGCAATAATCCATTAATAAACATCCTATGCTGTGCTGATTCATCTGACTTCTTCTTTCAAGGAATTCTGAATAGGAGATCATTGCATTTTAAAAAGGGAAAATAAGATTTCTTTTTCACCTAATTTTTGAGTCTTGTTTTCAAGAACTCCCTGGATATCATAAAGGAATAAACTATGATGGTTGAGGTTTTCTCCACAAGCTTTTGACATAGGAATAGACAACTGCCACAATATGATATGGAATTTGCCAAGTACAATATTAGTATAGTAGAAATAATGGAAAAAACAATTCTTAGTCATTTGGAGATAGATAAATTAATGGTTTGTGTTCATTTCTTTTAAAGGTCTTCAAGAACCTTTACATTGCTTAATGTGAAAGTCTCCTGTTGTTAGGTACTGTCAAGTTGGAACTGACCCACAGCTGACCTTTCAGTGGGTTTTCAGAGGCAGAAAAATCACAGGAGGAGATGGCCCATTTTTCTTCTTTGGAGCAGCTGCTATCTTTGAGCCATGTGTCTTTAGGGTGGCAGCACAGAATCTTACCTACCACTTGAGCTCCCTAAAAGTCTTATATGATACTACAAGTTCAAAAATTCTAGAGTTGATTCCTTTTTTTTTCTTTAGAGCTATATTATGTTTAAGGTGGTTGAATCTTCAGAATTAGAATACTTAGCCTATAACAGGAGTACTCAACCTTAGCATTATGAAACTTTTTTTATATATATCCATACAAAAAATTATTTTTATTATCGTAAGAACAATAGAAATAGTTTAAAATACAAAGTGCATGGTTATGTAGTGTAATTGGTACCCTTTGTTACGCTAGCATTATGAAACTTTTGAGGCCAGATAATTCTTGGTTGCTAAGGACTGTCCTGTGCATAATGTGTTTATCAGCATCTTTGGCCTCTGTTTATTATATCCCACTAGCATTCGTTAAAAATATTTTCAGACAGTGCAAGTTATCTTGGAGAATGTGATGAGTTAAAGAGAAAAGATTGTGAAATTGTCCCTAAATTGAGGCAATTGCTTTAGAGAAACCTGTCAGGGTTTTCAAAAGATTGTCCTTAACCACTGCTCTTAGGTGATTGAATTTGAGACTTTATATCTTTATTGTGCAAATATCTTGGTGACAGAAAGAAACATTTTTGACTGATTAAGGCTTTGCCTGAGTCTCAGCTTTTGCCTTTAATGACTTTTCTAGCCTTAACCGCTTGTGCAATTGTGACTAGCATCTGGAGACACTTCTTTGTTAAATCTCCTCCTTCCCCCCAGTTCTTTTAACAAGAGGAGTTATATTATACTTTGACAAGTACTGACCACTGAGTATGCTGGTTTTATATTAATCACAGCTGATTGATTTATTTTTAAAGATTATATTTCACTAAGCTATTTTGTTGTGGTTGAACTGGCTAAAGTAATATTGTTAACTGCATTTTTTTAGTTAAAGTGTATTTCTATAAATATTAATGCAATATAACAACACAATGTGGTTGTCTGAAATGACTAAAGAGGAAACTGACTTTAGTTTATACAAATTTATTTTTACTCGCTTAATATTTGAATACTCATTTGGTACCAGGCACTGGATTAATGCTTTATAGATTTTATTTTTGGTTTTCAAGCTATCCAGACATTTCAGATTATTTCTTAAATTTGTTCCATGCTAGAGAACAATAATTAGAGAAGAACAGTCTAATGATGAGTTCTTATTGAGAATACTCCTTATTAGCTAGTTCTGTTTGGTGGTAGGCATCATGTTGCATGGAGAGCCCAGGCCTTGGAGAGGGACATCATGCTTGGAAGGGTAGATGGACAGTGCAAGAGAAGACGACCCTGGAGGAGATGGATTGACTCAGTGACTGGGGAAGTAGGGATAGGAGTATCAGAGACAATGAAATTGGCTCAAGATAGAGCAAAATTCAGTGCTATTGTACATAGGGGTGGCTATGAGTCTGAGTCCACTTGACGGCACTTAATAGCAACATCTATATAAAAACTAGGGTTTTATTGTACTTAGTAAATTTTAGCTCTTGGAACTAGAGAGAGTAAATATTAATGATTTTAAACTATCTATAGGGTTCCCCTCCTAGATTATCTACCTAGCTTCATGTTAGCTAATTGGTCAAGACTGCCATATATGATGCCCTTTGATTTGCCTTGTTTCAATTTTGATGGTACCCAGCATCTCCTGAAAGAAAAGTAGTTTTAGATAGTAACAGATTTAACAATATAATGAAAAACTTCAGTACTCAAATAAGTGTGTAAACCCTTCATTGATTCAGTTACAAAATTATTCTAATTGAAAAAAAATGAGCTAGAAAATGATACTTTATGTTTTCTTGTGTAGGTAAAGAAAGACCTGTCCAGACCTTGAAAACATCAAGAGATCCTTCCCCTACAAGTTCTTCGGCAGTCTCTTCTTCAAAGGTTTGTTGACTTTCTAAAATCAGTGTTAAGAGTGATTGTAAAAGAGGATCGGTGATTTTATTCTTTACTATCCCACTTAATGGAGGCAATACCTTTCATTGAGAAACTTGAATATCCACAACATGAAAGTAACTACCAACAGGAAATTAGCAATCTCTTTATAATTTTTTTTTCATTAGCTATTCTGAAATTATTGTTTACTGTTGCCCTGTTTCAGGTGGAAAGGAATATGCAGAGGAAGCATATTTAATAGACTTTTCTCTTTGACGCTAGTTATATGTAGACAGAGACTTCATATGTCTTTTATAACTACTTAATGGTAGGTAGCTTATTTTTTTTAAAAAGTGCTCTTGTATTACTGCTAATTGTTTTTTAACCATGGAGTTGGAACTGACTCATAGGTGACCCTCCAGCGAGTTTTGAGGCAGTGATTTGCACAGAAGGAGACTCATCATCATTCTTCCATGGAGCAGTTGGTGGATTCAAATCATTTGCCTTTGGATTGAAAGCACACACACCTCTTTACCACTAAGCCACCAGAGCTCACTTCTGTATTAATAATTCATACAAATATCCTATGATATCGCTATGAGTCGCAGGCGACTCGACGGCACATAACAACAACAACAACATGTTGTTGTTGATTGCCCTGAAACTTTTTTGTAACTATCGACAAGCATTTCTGCTTCCAAACCTGTCTTAAACTGGTAATTCCACAAACACCGTCCATCATGGGCAACTGTTAAGACATTTCACACTCCAATGACTGAAAGTTCAGCATTACAGCAACCCCGGGCTACCTCAGCACAGCATACTGACAGAAGAGTGCTTTACCACTAAGAAGAATGTGCCTCCAAAATATATTAAAAACCAACTTTAAATACAACGGCCCTCTCCAAGGTCTTGTTGACTCTAAGAAGGCTTACATAAAAAGCCAACCAATATAGTATGCTGTGTTGTTGTTATGTGCCATAGAGTCACCTGCACTGTATAGGGACCCTATGTACTGCAGCTCTAAACCTTTCCCTGCATGTAAATCTCCATTGTAGAGAGTGAATAAAAGCTAAGATGCTAAAGAGTTTTATCAAGAACATAGCTATCATTCTTCTCATTTTTATCTTGCTAGCATCCCAAAACATGTTGAAAAGTTCATTGTCATAAAGAATTAAATATTGATGTTTTAATTTGTTTTCTGTAATTAAATGCTCTCTTCTCTAATAGTACCCTTTTTCTCATTTCCATAGCTGTTACTTTTCTTACATTGCTTCTTTACTTTCTAATTTTTCTGTCTTTGCAGAGTGTTAGAGAGTAGCCTTCTTTCAGAGACTTCTTTGTCCAATGGATGTGGGGGGAAGAGAAGGCTTTTTAGTAATTGTTTGTAATTTTGGAGCTTTCTAGGATTCTGAACATTCTAGAGTGCTGGGATTTTTGTTTAGCAAAGACTTTGTTTCTTTTTTTAAGTTTTTTTTTTTTTAATGGGGGCTTTGCCTTATCATGAACAGCATATAGAAAATAGTGATTATTCCTTGATATATAATGTACTTCATATATATTAGAACATGAGAATTTGTGCTATTATGAAGTTGTTTAGTGTGAAAAACTATAATGAATTTCAGATATTTTTGTCTGGAAGTTTCACATAGACATAGTATTTTACTTAGATTCTGTAGTCTTAAAATGGAATGTGAATATGAATTAGTTCTATATTAATTTTCAATTTTGTGGAAATGAGACTTCTCTCGGGGTCATATTGTAGTTACAAGGGGCTTTATTAACCAACCTTTCCTGATTTAGTGACATTTTTCTCTCAAATATTGTTGCAGCTCCTATATAGGAATGATTTTTCAGCATTTACATTGTTATTAGAAAGATGATAATTTTTCAAGTGTATGAAATTTAATGGCAATAAATTGATGGACTCAGAAGGTTTTTACCTCATTCTTTTCTAAAAATAACCTACTATTTTGTTTTTCCTCTCAAGTTTCTAAGTTTATTTTTAAAACAGAAACCCTAATACGTGGACTATAAATAATTTTCTAGGATATGCTTTGAGTTTGCTTTTTTTTTTTAAACTTAATTTCATATATGAATAGTGTCGGAGGAGGTGGCTCTGAATAGTCTCTTTGTGAATTATCATTGATAATCATCCAGTAAGTATTATGATGCACAGTCATTTAGGGAGATAAATGACCTGTGGAAGGTGGGAAGATATTGTTTTCAGAATCCCTAGTTTTAAATCCAGTTATGCTGGATCTTGCTAGTTCTTCCATTTCTTCCTGGTTGTTTTAGGTAAGCCATTGTGTTTTCAACATGCTTAAGAAATCGGCTTTATATAAACTCAGTTCAAGTTCTCTGTCATATCGATTGGGACTTACAATGACCCTCTCTTGGGTTTCCAAATCTATAAGTCATACAAGGAAGACCTGGTAAAACCACTATCATTCAAATTTATGCACCAACAACCAGAGCCAAAGAGGATAAAAATAGGTGATTTTTACCAACTTTTGCAGCCATAAATCGATCAAACATGCAACCAAGATGCCTTAATTATAATGGGTAGCTGGAATGCAAAACTTGGGAACCATGAAGAAGTAGTTGGAAAACATGGACTTGCTGTCAGAAATGAGACTAGGGATAGAATAATGGAATTCTGCACAATTAATTATTTATTCATAGCAAATACCTTTTATAAGAAACTTAAATACAGGCTGTATACATGGACTTCATCTAATGGTATGAACAAGAATCAGATTGATTATATCTGTGGAAGGAGTCATTAGAGAAGTTCAGTATCAGCAGTGAGAAAACTAGGCCCGGTGCTGATTGTGGAACAGACCATCAGATACTTATCTACAAGTTCACTAAAGCTAAAGAAGTTCAAATCAGATCTACAGGAATCAAAATTTGACCTTTTGTCTGTCCCACCTGTTTTTAAAAACCAACTCTGAAAGAGCTTTGAGGCTTTGAACATTAATAAACGAAGACAAGATGAGCTGTGGAAGGATATCAAGAATGTCATCCACAAAGAATGCAAAAGGTCATTACAAAGAAGGAAGAAGAAAAGACCAAAATGGATGTGACAAGAGACTTTGAATATTACTAGAGCACCAAGAAGCCAAAGCAGAGGAAGAAAGCAAGAAGTTAAGGAGCTGAGTAGAAGATTTTAAAGGGCAGCATGGAAAGACAAAGCAAAGTATTATTATGAAATGTGCAAAGAACTGAAGTCCGAAAATCAAAAGGGCTGAAGAACTACCTTGGCATTTCTTAAGCTGAAGGAACTAAAGAACAAATTCAAGCTTTGAGTTGTAGTACTTAAGGATGCTATGAGAAGAATACTGAATGATCCAGGAAGTGTTAAAAGAAGATGCGAAGAGTATACAGAGTCACTGTATCAAAAAGAATTGACTGACACAGAAGAATTTTAAGAAACAATATATGATCAAGAGGAAATGGTGAAGAAGGAGAAAGTTCATGCTGCTCTGAAGGACTTGGCAAAAAAGAAAGCCCCAGAAATTTATGGAGTATCAGTTGACATATTTCAACAAACAGATGCTTTCCTGGATGGTATCACCAGGTGGTACCAAGAAATCTGGAGGACAACTACCTGGCCAGCTGACTGGAAGAGATCCATATTTATTTCCAATTCAAATAGAGGTACCTGACAGAGTATGGAAATTATCGGACAATATCACTCATATCAGATGCAAGCAAAATACTACGGAAGATTATCCAGAAACGACTGGAACAGTACATTGACAGAGAACTATTATATTATAGCCAATGTCAGATCTTGGCAGAAAGATCATTATAGCCAATGGATCTTGGCAGGAAGCAAAGAGTACCAGATGGATATCTTATCTGTGTTTCATTGACTCTGCAAAGGCATTTGACTGTGTGGGTCACAAGAAATTGTGGCTAACCTTGAAGAGAATGGGAATCCTAGAATACTTGATTGCATTTATGTAAAACCTATACTTGGACCCAGGAAGCAGTCCTCAGAACAGAGCAGGGAAACACTACATGGTTTAAAATCAGGAAGGGAAGAGCATCAGGGATGTGTCCTTTCTCCATATCTTTTCACAGTCTCCATATCTATACACAGCAGATCATTCGGGAGTCTGGGCTTTATGAGGAGGAGTGTGGCATTGGAATTAGAGGAAACTCACCAACAACCTCCATTATGCAGATGATACAACCTTGCTTGCTGAAAGTGAGGAGCACCTGACGTCTTGCTGCAGGAGGTCAGGGACTGTAGTCTTCAGTATGGATTAAAGATGAACGTCAAGAAGACAAAAGAGTCTCATTACTGGGCCAATTGGCAGCACTATGGTGGATGGAGAAGAGATTGAGGTTGTTAACAGTTACCGTTTATTCAGCTCCACAGTCAGCACTCTTCACACCAGCAGTCAGGAAATAAAAAGATGGATTGTATTAGGGATCTTTCCAGAGTACTGAGAAGCAATGGCAGTCTCGAGACTAAGGTGAACCTAATCCAGGGCATGGTCTTTGCAGTTACCTTCTATGCATTAGAGAGCTGGATAATGACTAAGTATGACAGAAGCAGCATTAATGCCTTTGAGTTTTGGTGCTGGAGAAAAGTCTTGAACATACCATGGACTGCCAAGAAAACAAACAGATCTGTCTTGGACACAGTGAAACCAAGATTCTCCTTGGAGGCTAGGATTTTGAAGCTCCATTTCACATCCTTTGGGCATGTGGCCAGGGGAGATTGATCCTTGGAGAAGGACATCATGTTTGGAAGGGTGGAGGAAATGCGCAGGAGAGGGAGACCCTGTATTAGATTGATCCATACAATAACTAGGGCAATGGGGATTGGTGTGTTGGAGTCAGTGAGACTGGCTCAGGTCAGGGCAGGCCTCAGAGCTTGTACTTAGAACCGCTGTGAGTTGCAGGAGATTTGTCAGCATGCGACAAGAAGAAGACAGAATGAGACTTTCTTTCCCACCAAGCTGCTTGCTACAGGTTAATTGTAATTGTATTTTGTTATCATGAGTAAACTTCTGAAATTTTATGTAAATAAAATTCTGATTTAGACAGTGTAAATGTCCTAAAGGAATTTATTTTTGAAGGAATTTTGTATTGAACATTGTTTAATGCAAATAAAGGATGTATATGTTTCCCATTGTTTGTGTGTGTTAGTTAGTTAGGTGCACTTCTTGATGTATTCGAAGTTAAAAGGACTTGAAAATCATAAGAAAATGTTATTTTGTTTTTATTAGATAATAGAGAAGCCCAGTAGGCTAACTGAAAAGGAACTTGCTGAGGCTGCAAGCAAATGGGCTGCTGAAAAGTTAGAGAAGACAGATGACAGTAACTTACCTGAAATTTCCGAGTATGAGGTAAGGTATAATTTCTTTTTTTGTATTTCATATCTTAAAAGTTTTGTCTCAATTTTAAATTATTTGTGCAGAAATATTTGTACTTTTACTTCTTTGAAATACTATATTTTCAGGAAATGTTCTCGTAGGTTATTTAAATTTTACTACACAGTGTAATAGTTTAAATGTGAGTCTGAGTCTGAATTGAGTAGTTACATCTTGTGTGACTATTTATGTTGTTTAGATTATACCCAGTGCTGTTAAATTGATTTCAACGCATAGAAAGAACACTGGGTTCCTTAAAGCAGAAGACTACTTCTACTACTGCTCTCTTCTGGAGCAGCAGGTGTATGCAAACTTCTCACCTTATTATTAGCACTACATGCAATTCATTATGCCGCCAGCGTTAACTGTTTTAAAAGCGGCAGGACAATATACGTATAAATTATAAGTAAACTATATTGGTTGTAAGTTTGTAGGGGGTTTTCCTGCTTAAAGTGTTTTAGGAAATTATGTTTAATTTATTGGATATAAACTAGTATATAGAAAAAAGTTTGATTAGACATTGAATCTTGGACTATATTTATATTGGATATACATTCTATGCAATTTATTTCATGTTCAATATAAAAAAATTTTCTAAAAATGTGTTTTGTATAGCAATTGTACCTTTCTACATCTTCATACATTATGAGAAGATTCTTCTCAAAGTAGTTATGATAACTTTTCAGAGAAAGTACAAACCTTTTCAGTGCTTATGTAAATACAGTCTTTCTTTTAAAATCCTGATGTGTCCTTTAGATACCAATTGTTTTTAGATAGGTCCAGATTTCCTCATTATTGTAACCATTATAATACATATTTATGTTTATTCTTTAATAAATCTATCAGTAATCTCAAGCTATCCTTTTTTGGCACTTACCCCAGCACTATTTAAAAGCATGAACAATGCAGTAATGTTTTAATAAGGTCATTTTAATTATATTCTTACTAATACATGAAACAATTTTTCTATTAATAATAGATGTTTGTGCTTAAGTGCTGTTTTGAAAAACTGATATTTCTCCCAAGTTCTGGAAACCAAAAATCTAATTTTAAACCAAGATAACTAATTTTAATTTTATCTTTATTTTTCATTAATAAGGGTTTTTAAAGATATTTAAACTCCTTCACCTGTCATCTCATTTAATCTTGTAGTATTTTACATTGTATTGTCAGCCTGTCTTCTGAGGTTTGACTCTGAGTGGCATTGCATCTAGAAAGCATATTTTACCTCTTTTTTTTCTCTTATCTCTTATATTTGCTGAGAATTTACCATATTTCTAAATGGTTGTAGGTACATATTTCTAAGTCTTCTCATTGCACCAAGAAGCCAATAAAATGGGAAAACATGCCAAAATATAAGAGCTTTACAGAAGATTTCAAAGGGTAGCCCATGAGGTAGAGAAGAATATTCTATTGAAATGTGCAGAGAGCCAGAATTGGAGAAGAAAAGAGAAGAACTTGCTCTGCATTTTTCAAGATGAAAGAATTAAAAAACAAATTTAAACTTGGAGTCAATATGTGAAGATGCTATGAGCAATATATTGAATGACCCAGAAAGCATCTAAAGAAGATGAAGGGAATACACAGAATCACTGTACCAAGAAGAAATGATTAGTAACACTGAAAAATTTTAGGAAGTACCATATGAGCAGGAGCCAGTGGTAATAAAGGAGGAAGTGGAAGCAGCATTGAACATATTATCAAAAAAATAAGGCCCCAATAACCAATGGGATATGAGATGACTTGTTTCAGTTAATAGATGCAGCCTTGGATGTGCTCACCAGTCTATGCCAGGAAACTTGGAGGACAGCTCTCTGGCCAACAAATTGAAAGAGGTCCATATTTGTTCATATTCCCAAGAAAGGTGATCCAATAGAATGTGGAAACTCTTGAACAGTGTCATTAATAACACATTCAGACAAAGCACTGCTGAAGATCATTAAAAAATGGCTAAAACAGTATACAGATAGGGAATTGCCAGAAGTTCAAGCAGAATTTAGAAGAGGCCATAGCACTAGGGATATAATTTCTGATATCAGATGGTTGCTGGCTGAAAGTTGAGAATACAAAAAGAATCTCAATTTGTGCTTTATTGGCTATGCAGCGGCATTTGACTGTGTGGATCATAACAAGTTGTGGCTGTCATTGAGAATAATAGGAGTCCCAGAGCATTTAATTGTGCTCACATGAAACCTATAACTGAACCAGGAGACTATAGTGTGAACAGAGCAGGGAAACACTACATAGCTTAATATTACATATAGACTATGTAAGGGTTGTATTCTCTCTTCATACATATTCAATATGTATGCTGAGCAAATTATTCAGAAATCTAGACTCTGTGATGAGTGGTGTGGTACCAAGATTGGAGGGAGACTTATCAACAACCTGCCTTATGCAAATGACACAGCATTCCTGCTGAAAGTGAAGAGGACTTGAAGCCCTTATTGTAGAAGATCAAGGAATGCAGCCTTCTGTGTGGATTGCATCTCAGTGTCAAAATAAAGATTCTTACCCCTGGATCGATAGATAACATGATGGATGGAGAAGAGATTGAAACTGTCAACAACTTCATCTTACTTGGATCTACAATTAACATCTTTGGTACCAATAGGGAATAAGGGGAGTCATTGTACTAGAAAAGTCTGCAATTAGAGACCTCTCCAAATTATTGAGGAGTAATGATGTCAGTTTCAGGACTAAGGTGTGTCTGGTTCAGGCCGTAGACATTCTGATCACTTGTTATGCATCTTAGAGCTGGACCGTGAATAAGTATGACAGAAAAAGAATTGATGCCTTTGACTTGTGATGTTGAAGAAGAACACTGTACATCCCATTGTTTGCCAAAAGAATAAACATGCCTTGGAGAGGGTACAGCCTGAGTGCTCTTTTCAGACAAAGATGATGAAACTTCATCTCACTTACTTCGAACGTGTTACTAGGAGAGGCTTTTTCTTGGAAAAGAACATGATGCTTGGGAGGGTCAAGGGTCAGCAAATGAGAGGAAGACCCTTGACCTGATGGATTAACACTGTGACTGCTGCAGTGGGCTCAAGTGTGTCAGGTAGTGTTAGGATGGCATAGGATAGAATAGGATTCAGATCGGTTGTTCACAGGGTCACTATGCATCTTATTTGATTTAATGCTACATAAAAGAGATTTATATTTGTTCCTATCCCAAAGAAAGGTTACCCAACAGAATATGGAAACTACAGAACAATCTCACTGATTTCACATGGAAGCAAGATTTTACTGAATATTATCCAAAAACGACTGGAACAGCACATCAACAGAGAACTACCAGAAGTCCAGGCTG